GTCCCCCTCGCAGTGCGGGTGCAGCGAGCTGTTTGGCTGATGCAGAGCGGAGTGCACGTGCTGGGGTGTACGGTTTAACCATGTCCTGGATGTAGGAAGGGCCAGATCCATTCGCAGCATGGTACGTAATGATTACATTCAGGCAGACTGTAGAATACAACCTCTCTGGACAATTTATATACTTATTGAAAACAAGCTACAAAATGTAACACCTTGGAAAATGTCGTTTAATACTTTTTAATAGCCTTCATTTTTGCTAAATTGATTTATCAACTTTTAATACTTTTTAAGGCCCCGTGGACACCCTGTCTTATAAAAATCTTCATACATATTGTACACATGGTAACATAAGAAATAGTTACTGTAGCACTTTTGAATTGATTCTTGCCTAGGCAAACTTGGAAAAGCTCCTGAGCTGTCAGAGTCCTGTTGCAGTCTGCCACCTCCTGGCTGGTAGAGGGAACTGCACTCACTGCCTAGAGAGAAAGCAGGTGAATAAAAATCAGCTAAAAAGAATAAACCTTTCTATGAATTTGCATTAAGTTCAACTCCGTAATAGTTAACTTTAGACCACCATTGATCTAACCTGACTGTTAACCTGCCGGGTGATAGATGTCATGTCTTGGTTGGAGCTGTGTTTATCTGCTGAGGAAGCTTGGCGATAGTTTGGCTTGGTCTCTGAGATATTACTGCTCTCCAGGTCGCTGATGCGGACTGAAGGTGGATCAAGCCCTTGAGAGGGAACAATGCACATGTCCACATCTTCCACCCCTTTTTCCAGCTGTCTAATAACCAAAAAAAAGGTCTTACTTTACTTTTCATTCACAAAATCTATGACAAAAAAAAAGACAACTTATGAGACAACCTACCTCTCTTTTTGTTTCTGTAGGCGTGTATGTCTGAGCTGTACGATGAAGTCGCTGTAAATCTGTCGCTGCCGCTGCCTCTGCTTCTCCTCTTCATCAGTAAAGGCATAGTTGGTGTCCACATAGCTATAGCGGTGTACACCAGTGAAGATGGTCCTAACCACGATTAAACACAAAGTCTTTATAACTGGAATCTTTAACAACAAAATGACAATTTGCTGCTATAGCAATTAGCCCATCAAATCTAGTTTTAGAAACCAAATTCAACATTTAATTATTGTTCTGATTATCTAAATAATATTTAATTTATAAGGTTTAAAAAAAAAAATCTCCAATATGTAACATTTTTGGAAGTTTGATTTGCTGTATTTGAACGTTTCAAACACATACGACAATTTGGCTGTGAAGTAGAGTTTCTTGAACCTCTACCTGTACTGTTGGTGTGTAGAGGCAGGCCTGATACTCATGGCTCGGTCATTAGGAAAGGCCAGGAACTCCTCAGCCCCTGTGTTTTGACTCCTCTGCCTGCGATGTTCATGGAGTAGTGTTTTGCCGGCGCTGAGGACAGCATTCGGCACCATCTCACGACAGCGAGCCAGGTCACTTGACCGAACGTGAGGGAGTGATCCAGTTGGATTAGTCACTGCTGGAGTGATGCCTGTGAAGCCATTGAAGCAGGACAAGAACATTTTTCAAGATAATTTTCATAAACATACTTTTCGAGTGTCAAGAAATAACATGGGAAGAACAAGACCAACAACAATTTCAATGGGATTTATCCTTCGATCGATACTAACCAGGATTCAGATGAGGGACAGGCTGTGTGGTCTCATTGCAGCAGACAGCGGACAGGTTTAGAGTAATTGTGTGGAAGCTGTGAAGCTCAAGTTCATGAACAGAATCAGCAGTGATGCCTTCTCTCTGAACAGCAGGACCCAAGACATCTAGCTTCTGACACACCTGAAAGCTCCCTTGCTGCCGTGCAGTGAAAGATAAGACCACATCCTAAGGAATGCAACAGAAAGAAAAAAGGTTCCCAAATGTGATGCTCCACTTTGATTCTATAAATGAGTAATGGAATCAATCGTAATCCTTACCTGGCATTGTCCAGGAGCAATAGTCCCAGAAGAGGGCTTGGTGGAGAAATGTGCACACTTTTGGAAGCGGAAATTGACAGGAAGTTGAGGACAGAGGTTCTGAAGCACACACAGCAGGTCCACACGTTGACCCAGCACACAAGTGAGGAAATCATATCTATGAGAGGGACTGGGCACCAAACACACAGGCAGTCCAGAGCCTGTCACTGCCAGCTCCACACTGCTTTTACCTAAAGAGACCAAGAAAAGATCAGTGTGATCCATCTTGAATCATCAGTTAATGTATTAATGGATAATGTTGATTTAGTTATGTGAACTGTGTGTGTCCATGTGTATTGTGAGTACCATCATGGTGAACGAAGCCATATCTGCTTCCTAATGACTCAAACAGCAGGAAGAGACAGTAGTCTTGTCTGCTGGTCCAGTAATCAAGCTTCTTCTCTTCCCGTCTGCTAAAAAAATGGTTGTGAAACAGTGTGCAGTTCAAAGTAGAAGAGAGGCCACGCCCCCTATTGTAGCGTGCTCCTCGTTAGTATAGTGGTCAGTATCCCCGCCTGTCACGCGGGAGACCGGGGTTCAATTCCCCGACGGGGAGGTACAATTTTTCATTTTCTACACCATAATAGTAACTTTTGTTATGTTTTCAGACATAATCACAGACTATTTACCTCTTGCATTGAGGGCTGAAGCACACTGACACAGTGGTTTTTCCATACGGTCCCAGTCGGCCCTGTTTGGGAACACACACCAAGACCTGAGAGACGTCACGGGTGGCTGAACTGCTCTTCTGCATTCTCTCCAGCAGGGCGGCGTCTGTGCTCTTCTGGAGGTCTGTTCCCTACACAGCCATCACAGTAGACATAATCTTGATTAAACACAATATTTGCTGATTGGCACCAACTTTCCCTGATGGAATTACTCACCACCTCAATCCCAGCAGCCGTATCCTGCAGCAGGCAGACCCAGTCACATGCCTCGGGCGCATTATTTCTCAGAACCACATTCTCCACATGGGACGTTCCAAAGTATACAGGTCCAAACCACAGACAAGAGAGTGGATTGCCCTACAAAACACAAGAGAGTAAAGTATCTTAACAGGAAAACCAGTAAGAGGGGGAAAGCAACAACGATGAATGGAGTATCAATGATAGGAACAATACAGATTCCACTTTGACTGAATTACCTTTTGGTCAAAAACCTCAAGATGCTGTTCCACCACCTCAGCCTTTATGTTGAGAACTACAGCAGAGCAATTCTCCAGTTTCACCCTGGAAAAAAAGGAGGGTTAAAGGCAGGTAGAGTACAAGTGCACAGTGGATACTCAAAGAACAGTATTTGGCCACTTTCTGAGAAGTGATTTTATAAAAAATCAAACCACCTTGAAATTGTGACGAAGCATTTAGTGTCCAATCCCTTGATATTCTATGTGTTCACAGGTATGTTGGTGTAAATGATTTCTTACATAGCCTTTTCATCAATGTGCCTTGGTCTGTCTGTGCGCAGCTCCACTTTAAGCCACTGGGTGGCACCAGCTGCTATGACTCCACTGCAGGGTGAGAGTTTGACTGAGGCGTCTCCACTGTACTGAACCTGGAACACACCTTCAATGCACACAAGAAAATAAATACAAATAATCTCATGGAGTATTTTAAGAAAAGAGTACATACTACTTGAGAGAGTTCATGTGTTATAAGAGGTTAACAGTCTATACCTGGCGGGGTATTTTCTATAAACAGGTCACTGCATTTATGAAAATGTACAGAGTATCTGCAATCTTTTAAGTATAAATGTTTTGAATGTGAAGACTTTGTAATACTTCTTAGGATAGAATAATAGTATAACTATGGCAAAATAAATGTGATGGGTCATGGAGTCTATGTTTTGAAGAAATATAAGGTTACATACTTAGATTAGATGAAGAATTAATGAAATGCTTAATTTACCAGGTGCTGATCCCTGATTGGTTATTTGGTGCTGTTTGCTGATCAACCGACTGCTTGCAGCAATACACCCAAAGTCTAGCACTGAGTCCATTTGGAAGGAAAAAACCCTGGGAAACCTGGAGGAGCAAGGCGTTAAAATGTCAAATGAATGCATGAACATGTGACACGCAAAGTGTTTGGTCCTTCAGCTCCCTTACCACATCAGTGGAATTTTGATTGTTTCTACATCATCTATATGAATCAGAAGGCAGTCTCTGACCTCCTCCTCTTCCTCTGGAGTAAACTCCAGCAGGCCGCTCACAGACAGACCTGGAGCCACCACCTTGGCCAAGGTTGATGCTGTGAACTTAAACAACTGCCAAAAAAAAGATGGAAAAGATGAGGGAGAAAAGGGCAATAATCACAAAATAACCACATTGGTGACACATTTTGATTTACCATTTAGAGAACATTCTAAAACAGAGATGCACACATCTAACTATTCTAATTAAATGCGTATTCAGTTTACTCAGATAAATTAAATAATTAATAGGACGACACTTTTGGAGTAAATAGAACATACTAAGACACTCTTGTGACAAAAAAAAGCACAATGTCAGTAAAATACATTGGAAATTCTCCTGGATACCATAATGACAATTATATCATACATTATTATTATTGTTATGATAGACGGACAGACAGATACATTTGGTAAAATTAGCATCATGTATTGCACGAGATTTTAGCTAGTGTAACAGCAATTAAGCTAATGTTAGCAAAATGATGTGGCCATTGTTACGTCATTGTTATAATAGACATTTATAACTATATTACTATTATTAGATAGACAGATAGATAGATAGATAGATAGATAGATAGATAGATAGATAGATAGATAGATAGATAGATAGGTAGATAGATAGATAGATAGATAGGTAGGTAGGTAGGTAGATAGATAGATAGATAGATAGATAAATAGATAAATAGATATAGATAGATAGATAGATAGATAGATAGAAGTAATGGGAATTAGCTAACATTAGCATAAATTCGGCACGTGGTGTTTGCTAGTGGTAAAAAGCAATTAGCATGTAATTAATAGGTGGACAATTTTAGAGTAGGTAGAACATACTAAGACTCTCTTATAACAATGCAAACTGTTTAAAAAAGGAGAAAGGGAAATAACTTATATGATGGTTGAATAGACCTTAGGAAATGAGCTAATATTAGCATAATTTATTGAAGAAGTTTTAGCTAGCTCAAACCGAATTTAGCTAGCATAACGGCATTGCAACTAAGCTATCGTTGCGTCATTTTAATTGAATTTAGTTATTTCGTATAGCTTAGCTTGTAAATTGATACAAACAAAACATATGTGTTTACTTTACAGACTGTATGCGTTTGCTTTACCTTTAACCCAGGCTTTTCAAACCTTATTTTCGTCGAAGCTTTTCCAACATTTGTTGCCGTGACGGTAGTCTTGTAAATCTGTCCGACTTTCACGTCGTTGAACTCGACACAGCGTGGGTCAACTCGAACACAACTTCCAGCCATGATATCACTTCACATGACAGTACTACTGACCTACAGACGTCACAAATGTATTCTCATTAACGTAACTTACATTTAAAATAATTATCGTGCAGTTTCGTCGAATTGCTGGCTTGCATACCGATAGTCAACTTTACTGTTGCTAGGTGAAGTGAGACTCAGGTGGTTTCTAGGCGACCAGTGCGACTCTAGTGGCAGCGCGTGTGCAGGTGGAAGGTGCAGCTGTTGAAAGTGGAGAAACAACCTTACTGAGGTGGAAGAATTACTAAAATCTCTAAAATGGAAATACTCAGGTGATAGATAGATATACTCAAGGAAAGTAGAAGTACAACATTGTATTTAAGTACACTACTTGAGTAAATGTACATACTTTCCACCTTTGCTTAGAAATCCAAAGTACCTTAGGTTTTCAGGATTGTCAATACAGATTATGATCATAAAAAATGCTCAGCTGTTTAAAAAAAATATATATATAAAATGTCTCAGCCCCTTTGTCAGCATTTATCTAATGGTATAACAATGATTTTAATGATGAAATCAATTTAAAATCTCATATTTGGAACCAAAACTAAGAAAATCTTTATATTGAAGCTACATTTCTCATTATATTAGGTGTTATTAACTATAGTTATCATAGATTTTCTTTCATTTTCTCAATCAACTGTACACAGATATGGAGGAATCGAATCAACTTCTAATCGTCAAACATGATGACATTTCGACACTGCATTTAAGAGCAACTACACACCACCCTGTGAGAAGCGTGGGGGACAGTGCTTGGCTCAAAGGCATCTCGGCAGGCACCATGAGACTATTCGAAAGTCTGTACTTAGTCTGATCGGGGACTTGAACCAGAGGCCCTCCGGCTTCCATTCAAATCTACACGTTTTACAACACAGCAAATCATTTACATATAGCATTCCGATAATTAAAGCTTACAATAATATTAAACCAAGGTTTTCACAAAGGTAAACTGGTTGATATAGTTGATTTTATTTATTAATAAGAACAAATGTGTTCCTTGTAATGTTACAAAAATATAACTGAATATTGTTAGTCAATCTAATACCACAGAAAAATTATTAACACCAACTTGTGTAAGACTAGTGTCTTACCTTTCTGATTGAGAACAAAATAATATTTATTAATTTAAGTAATTTATTAGGACATAGCTCCAGGGCTCTCCCATATTTCATCTTCATAAATATTAGAGGTAGGTGTGATTCTATCTGTGTCCATCAGATGGAGGCTGATGCAGTCTTTGACAGTTGACTCTTCACCAACAGGAGAAGGAGACACAGCCCTGTCCTTTTCTGTTGGCTTTTCCTTCCTCACTTCCTGCTCTTCAATTGGGATAACATGTGGGACTTTTTCCTTTATCCTTTCCTTATTCTGAGGTCTGCTTTCCAGGCCGAAGAAGTTGTTTCGGACAACATAACGCACACACTGCAGGAGGACATTCCTTTCGTGGCGGATATCTGCAGCCAGAAGCTAGAAAATAGAGAGATTTGTGAGGGCTGAGAAGATGCATTATCTAGACAATTTTACATTATAAATCCAGTGAAATATGCTTATATAATCTTACCATCTCAAGTAAAGTGGGACGACGTGCCTGCGGTATATCTTGGTACCCTCCTCTACCCCCCCTGCCTCCTCGTCCTCTGCCCCCTCTTCCTCTTCTGTTGTTATGTGTGTGATGGGCGTTGTTAGGATGTGCATCTTTGTGACCCTGTAAAGAGGAGCCCGGGCCTCTCGAGGGTCCTCTATCCTTAGGCGGTATTGTGTTTAGGAGAGCCTGGTTTTCTTTCACAAGGTCTTTAGCTCTTTTAATAGGGGTTTCTGCAACAAGAGGACAAATATTATCAATATATTTTTGTGTTTTTCCTGTGACATGCAATTCCATAATATGTGCTTTGCCCATGAATGTATATACACCTCCTCTGTCAACAGAATAAAACCAAATGACCAATAATAAAGCTAGTCTTGGGTCAAATTCAATTACTATCTGTGATTTAATTACTCATGACAAAATATTTGTTATTTAAATATAGTAGAGTAAGCAGTTTTTTAAAGTTGTTTTTATGTGCAGATTGAGGATGTTGGTAAACGTACCTTCTGGTCCCTCATCACTTTCACTCATGGAGCCGTAGTTGGCCACCAAGGAGCCCAGAGCGGAGCTCATCTGCTTGGGAGGCACAATGAGGGCACCAGCTTTGGATTGAGGGGCGGGTTCCTCTCGGTCAGAATCTGGAAGCACAGATTAAAATGTACAAAAGTTACCTTTACAGATGTTATTTCCACGGCATCAATATTTTTCATCTATGACGTTATGCACAAGGACCTCTTGTGGTTTTGATGATCAGAATTTTTGAAATATGTCTATAATTAACATCAAACCAACAGTCATTTGAATTGGTACCAGACTTCAACAATTAAACAGACGTGAAAAAAAATGCACAATAACATATTTCCACTGACTGTTAACAGTGTTGTTTGAATACAATACAAAGTACATGTCTGAGTAACTCACCATGATCACTGCTGGCGAGTGCTCCCAGAGGATCCTCATGTCTGCGGGGCTGGGTGAGAGGGGGGGGTCTCTCTGTGGCGCTGCTGTCTGATGGGTGAGGGCCCTGAGGGTGTTGCTCATGGGACCCTCTGTTACCCCAGCCCCGTCCTTGACCTCGACCTCGCCCCCGCCCTCTGCCTCTGCCCCTCATTCGGCTGGGAATAAAAAAATATTAGAGTTTAGATTTAGATACAAAGGTACTGTTGTTTCTTTTTGCAATTACAGAAAAAACAAGAAAGATCCAGTGCGAAATACATAACTTACAAACCAAATTATTAAATATGTACCCAAACTGAGCTGTGTCTAGAACAGCTCCTGTCTGCTCACGCTCATCCATCACTTTCTTCTTCTTGTCAATATTCTGAAGTGTTGGATAATGTCTGGGGAGACACATTAAGACCCAAGTTAAACAACAATCATCATGTCCTGCTGTTTGGAAGTAGATATCATAGGCAAAAGCTATGTATATACAACATTAAAAGTAGCGTAAAAATCTATTTGTGAATACTGACTTGCGCCTCTCCTCTCTCCATTTTGCAATCTCGTCTTCTGTGTCCAACTTGATTCTTTTAGCGCCTGGTGCATGGTTCTGCAGTCAGGATAGAAAAAGACTGATTTCAGCAAAGGAAAATACTGAGTTTCAGATAAACAGCAAGGTGTTACACCTACGTTTTTCCAGTGGATGCTGACTATTTTTTCATGAGCCATGAAGCTGCAGTCAGGAACAGAACACTAGGCAAGAGATGTGATGGAGTTAGTCAGTGAATCGGGAATACTGATTTTCATAAATGACATGTAAGAAAGCAGAATATACTTGATAGATATATCAAATTACCTTCACGTGTTGAGAAACATGTTCATCGTACTTCTCCTGGTTTTTGAAGCTCCGGTCACAAGTGTCACAAAAATGTGAAAACTGTGGCTCTTTCTTATTTTTCTGCTGTGGATTATAGATGGATTAGTTCACAATGTAGAGCAGAATGTATGACAAACACTATTAAGGTCCAGATTACAACGACAATGTTCGAACAGATAGATACCTTTTTCCCATAATTGTTGGGGGCACCATAATTCTGTCCTCCACCTCGATTTCCTCCATGATGCACTCCACGGTTAAAGTTTTGACCTGAAGACAATCCATCAACACCTCCATTTTAATGATGTGACATTCACATGATGGCTCTTAAGTAAATTATGTCATGTTAGCAATTACCCTGATGGGGGTAAGGAATCACATATTGGGCTCAGAGATTGCCCGTTCTAAACATTGGCAGAGTAACACTTTAATACTTTCCCACAGTGTTTTTAGATATTGGTTTGTCTAAGAAAAGTCATTAGTAATAGGGCCAAGTAGATGCATTAACACCTCATCATGTAATAGTTGAATAGTAAATGCTACTCACCATGTGAACGTTTTGATCCATAGTCTCCACGGCCAGATGGAGGACCAAAGCCTGCTCCTGTATGCCACCCAGCCTGGCCCCTGGACTCCCAGGTGGGCTCGGGCGTCTCTCCCCAGCTCCACATGCTGGGGTGGAAGCTGCTGGAGCCGGGCTGCTGCTGCTGCTGGAAGGGCTGGATGAAGTCTGGAGGGGGACAACTGAAGTCCGGCGGAGGATAGTGCCTCGGTTCATTCATACTTCACCCCTTAAATCTTTCGTTGCGTCAAGAGTAAATTAAATTTAGTAAATCTGGGTTTCTCACCACGCAGCTCTCACATGTGCATGTTTTGCTATAGACACACGTACGTCATTTCCGCGAGAGCAGGAAGGGCATACATTTATAACCAAAACAAACAAAATAACAAATATGAGCGATAGCTATCATCCTTAGTGGTTGTTTTGTTAAAATATGCACATGACATACTCTGTTATGCTGTTTTATCTGTGTCAAAAAGCCTAGCTTAAACATTTTAATTCGAAATAACGGTATGTTTGCGAAACTTCTCGCGAGATTAAACACAACTCAATCTCCTGAGGTTGCCAGGTTGAGGAGAAAACGCATGTGGAATTTATTTATACATGATGCTAAGAAGCTGTGAAGCAAATATTCACTGCATAGAGCACTATACGTTGCTTTTTCTAAGACACAGAAGGAAGTGAAAGAGGTGTTTTAAGTAAACTGGGATTTATTTTACACTTTTGATAACATTTCAATTAAATTTAGATTTGCAGCATTAAACCATGCCATTAATGTAAATACATGAGGTATTTTTGTCTATCTTTGAAAAACTTAAATGCAAGGAATACTTTCAAAATCATCTGAAATATCGATTACAAAAGAGAGAGATTTTTTTCTGATTCGGGGGATACCGTCTGAGCGGAAGTGGCAACACAGCAGTTTTCTCCCTCGCGCCGCGTGTGTTCCTCAGAGTGCAGCAGCGTGGTGACTTCGTGAAGTACCTGGAGGCACTCAACTGAGAGAGCGCACACATTTTGCTGCCAAAATGCTCGTCTTATTCGAGACCGCCGCTGGATATGCCATATTCAAAGTATGTATTTGACTTCTGTTTAATGTCACTCAAAAAAACGAGGAATTATTACACATGAGTTAGCATCGGTTAGCTTCACAGCTACTTACCCACAGACTGTGTCGCTTCTTTTCAACTGTAGTTAACGTTAGTGATAGTAAGCAAAATGACAACTATATTTTAAATTGCATTCGACTATATTAATTAGCCAATGTAATGTTTTTGCTTGTACAGGAGTGGTTTAAGTTAAGGCTCAAGCTAATGCACGTTGCCACTCTGCAGGCCTTGTAACCACGTGTGCATGTGGGGACTAGCTTATGTGACTCTACTTGTCAATCTTCAAATACATACTAAACATTTACTTATATATGTATGATGTTATAGGATCAGCATTACATACTGAGAGAATAAGACAACTTAACTAAATATACATTTACAGACCAGTGTTTTTTATACTTGTGCATCTCTCCTAATCTTTATTAATGCATGATTACTAACTGAGAGTTTCTGTGACATTTCAGGTCCTTGATGAGTCCAAGCTGCAACAGATCGATAGCTTGTACAAGGAGTTTGATACTCCTGAAAAGGCTAACAAAATGTGAGTGTTGAATGTGCTTCTAACCAAAGCAAGATGTCGCCATGTTATACATTGTGGCTCAAGTAAATTGGATAAAATGTCTAAATTATTTTTGTTTTTCTCCTGTCAGTGTGAAGCTGAAGCACTTTGAGAAGTTTCAGGACACAACAGAGGCCTTAGCAGGTAATTACATATGTTTTACCACTGAGACCACCAAGTTTAGTGATCATTTAGATAGCGAGGGAAATTAGCCATTCAAAAAAACAATTAACCTTAACACCAATATATATATATATACTCATTTATAAAATGTACACTGTTGCATTTTGGAGAACTGAAGAGACAGTGGTGATGATGACGACATTTGTCTTTATCCTGAAACGCAACATGTGGGTTTTTCAGTCACTACCTCATCTGAACTGTCACTATAGGACTCCTTTAAACTCTTGGCCCACTAAATATACAAATGAGATTAAACTGATGTATTCGTCACTACCACAGAGAACACCAAGTGTAATTATCATTTAAACAGCAAGGGTAATTAGCCATTTTAAAAAAAACACTAAGGAACCTGAATTTAAATTAGACATTTACTAAAATTCCCTTAGGTCATATTAAATTGACTGTTTCCCTGATTTGGATCAGTTTATGTAGTTTTAGTATTTAATGCAGTATTCTCTACCTCTTCCCTACAGCTGCCACTGCCATGACCGAGGGAAAAATTGGAAAGAGTTTGAAGAAATTGCTGAAGAAGGTTGTTGCAAAGGAAGCTCATGAGCAGCTGGCCATCAGTGATGCTAAACTCGGTGGAGTTATTAAAGTAAGTGACTTAACAATCATCTTTATAAATCGGTAGCTAAGTGGTATTATGGCTCTAAAATGTTCTATTTCTCAGGAAAAGATGGAACTGGCCTGTATCCACAGCCCTGTAGTGGCTGAACTGATGAGATGCATCAGGAGTCAGATAGAGAGCCTCGTCACTGGACTCCCTCCCAAGGAGATCAGTGCCATGTCTCTTGGATTAGCTCACAGGTAGATGGCACAAAGATACGATGGTGTATAAATAATGTCGTCGCTGCTTCTCAGCATTCGTCACTACCACTGAGGCATCAATGTCCCTTTGGAAAGATCATAAGCAGCTTGCTGTGTGAAATAACCATGACGCTTCTTGTCTCTGTTTTGCAGTTTATCCCGCTACAAGCTGAAGTTCAGCCCTGACAAGGTGGACACTATGATTGTGCAGGCTATCTGTAAGTTGTATTTTTATACAGTTAACAATATTAAACGATGATTGATATTAGTTTTCACTATCATTTCATTTAAAGTCTGTTTTCCCAATTCATAGTTGAATGGAATATCAGAAATACGGTCACAATCAGACATGTGACTGTTGTGTATTTGAATATGCAGCCAAACGTTTGAGTTTTTTCTCCTCTCTCCAGCTCTGTTGGATGACCTGGATAAGGAGCTGAACAACTACATCATGCGCTGCAGAGAGTGGTACGGCTGGCACTTTCCAGAGGTGGGAAAGATCATCACAGACAACTTGGCCTACTGCAAATTTGTCCGCAAAATCGGTAAGAAAAGAATCTGCATTTAAACTCAATAACACATTTCGGTAGATATCCCTTGCATAGTAAAACTTCCCATATTTTCAACTGTTAGTGATATTATTGCAGGCTGTTGGTTATACATTCCTGAGTATCCTAATGTGTCCGTGTATCTGCAGGTGAACGCACAAACGTGGCCGCCTCTGATCTGTCTGACATCCTGCCTGAGGAAATCGAGGCCGAGGTTAAACTGGCTGCAGAGATCTCCATGGGAACAGAAGTGTCAGAACAGGACATCGGCAACATCGGGCACCTGTGTGATCAGGTATGTGGCTTCCTTACCTAGTTTAACCGTTATACCTATATATATATACACATTTATAAAATGTGCACTGTTGAATTTTGGAGAACTGAAGAGACAGTGGTGATGATGACGACATTTGTCTTTTATCCTGAAACGCAACATGTGGGTTTTTCAGTCACTACCTCATCTGAACTGTCACTATAGGACCCCTTTAAACTCTTTCTTTGGTTATGTGCTGGCAGTTCTTATATAAATCCCATCTCCTTTTTTCCATAGGTGATTGATATTTCAGAGTATCGCGCTCAGCTGTACGACTACCTGCAGAACCGCATGATGGCGATCGCCCCCAACCTGACAGTCATGGTGGGAGAGCTGGTGGGCGCCCGTCTTATCGCACATGCAGGTGAGTCAGAGAGAAGACGCTTTGTGAGAGGCAGCCAAGCTGTGATGATGACGACATATTGTCGATTTCCTGATCATGACTGATGTTTTTAAGTCACTACCTCATCTGAGCTTGTGTTAAGAGGCCCAATGAGCAGGCACTGGTGAGCGCATCGTATTTATTTGTTGATGGTTTTTAAGGTTCCCTTCTGAATCTGGCAAAGCATCCGGCCTCCACGGTCCAGATCCTCGGAGCAGAGAAGGCTCTTTTTAGAGCCCTGAAGACTCGCAAGGACACGCCAAAATATGGTCTCATTTACCACGCCTCCCTAGTGGGTCAGACCACTGCCAAGAATAAGGGAAAGGTAAGCCCAGAAGGTCCCCAAACTGCACTGATTAATAAACATTAGTCTCTTGGTTGGCATATAAACATATGCTGTGTTTTTCTGTCCAGATCTCCAGAATGCTGGCAGCTAAAGCTTCCCTGGCCATTCGCTATGACGCCCTGGGAGAAGACACAAACGCAGAGATGGGAACAGAGAACCGAGCCAAGCTGGAGGCCAGGCTGCGACAGCTGGAGGAGAAAGGAGTAAGTCAATCTAAAATTGGTCATGAATGCATACACTTTTTGAAAAAGGATGTATACTAAATGTTTCACATATTTCCTCAGATGTTCTACTTTCATTCTTGCCCTGCTACTTAAATAAGTAACCATTTGTGTCTTTTCTTCTCAGATCCGAAGGATTAGTGGAACAGGCAAAGCAATGGCACAGGCAGACAAATACCAGCACAAGAGGTAAATAATCCAAAGTTTTCTTTAGAAAAGATTATATTTTTCCAGTGAAAAGTGTTAAATATCTCTTTTTTTTATTGTCTCAGTGAAGTGAGAATGTACGATCCATCTGGCGACTCAACTATTCCCTCCACATCAAAGAAGAGGAAGTTTGAAGAGGTGGAGGAGGAGTCTGAAGCGCCCGTAACTCCAGCGGTTAAATCCAAGAAGGCCAAAAAGGAGAAAGTAGTAGAAGGTGGGTGGAACAGGAATCAGAATACCTTTATCAGTCCCACAGAGGGGAGATGTGCAGCGTTACAGCAGGAAAGAGCCACAGACAGCTTAGTGTTGCATATCTTACATGCGTTAAAAAAGTACTAAGTTATAATATAATAAACGATATGCTAAAAAAAAAAAGATAAAGTTACATAATTTACAAAAATACAGATCAAATCTTGATGAACCTTATCTTGTGGTTTAGGCTCCAAAATAGAGTTTATGATGCTCAATATCTTGTCTGCTTGTTTGGTAGAAGAAGCAGAAACGTCAGCAGCAGCAGAAGAGACGCCGAAGAAAAAGAAGAAGAAAAAGGACAAGAAAGAAGAGGAACCTGAAGCGCCGGAACCCGTAGAGGAAGAAATGGCCGTAACAGAGGTAAGAGTCTGTTTGAAATGCAGACTATTCATTAGAGGTTTGAGTGTTCCAGCGTTTGACTCTGTTCTTCTCTCTCCAGTCGACAAAAAAGAAGAAGAAGAAAAAGAAGGCAAAGGATGAAGATGATGAGTGAAACAAGTGGAGAGTGTATATATTTTCTTTCTTAGGTTTTATGTCATTTTAGTTTTGTGTCATACATTTATTTTCACAAGGGCAAAACTGTAAAGTGCCTGTTTCTGGACATGAGAAGAGTTCCTGTTGAAGAATCCTTTGATCTCCCTTTTTATACCTGACTAGGATATGATATGAAATCAGTGTATTCCAATACGTTTCTAATCCTCTATCCTTTATGGTTTTATGGTTTTTATTTGTCACACATCAATATCAGAACCAGTGCAGAGCAACGAGTGGATGAAAGATTCTCCCATTCCATTGTAGATAGATATTTTTGTCTGAACCTCTGCCTGCCCTGCTGAAATAAACATTTTTTTGCTCAAATTGTGTGTATAATGTCGTGGTATGAATATAAAAACATAATTAAGATTATTCAATGGCAAAAGTAAACTGCAGTAGGTGATTTTAGTTTATATCCAATTTTGTAATAGAATTACTACTTAAGAAAAAATGTGTCTCCCTTTTGCCAATGAAAGCATGTAAGCAGGACCCTAGTTAACTTCTAACACTAGGATGTGTTTACCTCCGCTATTCTGGTATTACCAGGAGCTAATTGTGGCTTGTGGTAGTTTATGGAGCTGGCAGTCGGAAGGCTGATTTAAGCATGCCACAATTAGAAATTAATTTGCATAGAATGGCTAACAAGTGGAAATACAACATGATATAGGGGTACGACTTGACAATAAGACTACCCTTATAAAGGAGTCATAAAGGGTTTATAATTAGGTTGTAAACACTTTCATTGAACCATTTTTAAACCAGTTCTAACGGTTTTCATACATAATCACAGGCTCACTATTTGGCAAGAGGACTAAGCGAGACTAAATCCCTGAAAAAGAGCCAAATTAGACCAGGCCGAATATGGGAAAGGTGACAAAAAAGCCCATAACTTGAGAATGACCTCTCTTATCCTCTTCAGATTTGCTGAGGTATGAACCAGGTAGCTGTCCTACATCACCAAATAGTCAGACAATTATTTAACTAAAAAAATACTGAATTATAGTCCTGTAAACTTAGCTTTAGTTTAGACGGAAATTGTACTTTTTGGTGATAGGAACATAGGACTCCATCACTTTTCTCTCATTTATCAGAAAAACAGAAATCCCTAAAAAATATACCATTACTGAATTGTCTAGGGTACTATTGAACACTAACCAGTAGTTGGAAATATCTGGTACAGTTCTATTGCAAATGAGATTTCTTTAGACATAGGCCTACCTCTTCTCTCAGACAGTCAAATTCCGAATGGGGGACAAGTGGCACAATAGCTTATAAATTAAGAATGCTCACTCTGATGGTCATTATATTTGGAGAGGGAAATACCAGGTGGCTGAACTACATCACCAAATAGTGAGAATAAGAGTAACTCAATACAATCAAGTGTATTAGTTCTAAATTGCCTAGCCTCTAAAACATAGGTGTAAATAGTACAGGTTTTATTGAAACTGGAACCTTAATTCAAAATACAGTATACAAATCATCAAATAATTATGTGAGAGGTCAAGTATATCAATACTAGAATATGATGTTAAATGTCAGGTTCCTCAGAAACGTTAGGGGACACATTTTGACATTCTGCACAGCAGGTACAGAACTCCGTACAGGGAAGGCCAACCGAGAGGCACTGGCACTTTCCACTCTCTCCACACTTTGCATCTTTGCAATACAAGTGAGTAATGTCTCTCACTTCTGTAGGTGCTGGGGTTTTTGTAAATAGCACTGGTTGAATGGCCCCATCTCTGACAATCCACCCCTAGCCAACAGGACTCCATAACAAGGGTTTAGGTTCGGGCTGTGACACCATATCGCTGTCTGAAATATTGCTCTTTACACACGTTGTTGAAATGCATCCTCGGGTAGCGGCAGATTTTCCGAGGCTGCATCTGATGTTGATGCAATTATGAACCTCAGTTCACCCAAGTTTGGGCAAATCAGTCCAATTTCCTTTTTTCCATACATATAGCAGAAGCGCAAATTCTCTTGCGACTGGCAAAGACTCTTCCAAGCTGACAGAGAGTCCAAAATGGGCCAGATCTTTGAGCTCGCTGAGATGGGTCTTGAGTTTGTTGAATGCTGATTGTCTTTCCTATTCTGTACAAACTACTTGTTCTACACCCGCTGTGCAGAATGTCAACATGTGTCCCCTAAAGTTTCTGTGGAATCTGACATTTAACATTCTATTCTAGTATCTATATACTTGACCTCTCACAGAATTATTTGATGATTTGTATACTGTACTTTGAATTAAGGTTCCAGTTTCAATAAAACCTGTACTATTTACACCTATGTTTTAGAGGCTTGCAATTTAGAACTAATACACTTGATTGTATTGGGTTACTCTTATTCTGACTATTTGGTAATGTAGTTCAGCCACCTGGTATTTCCCTCTCCAAATATAATGACCATCAGAGTGAGCATTCTTAACTTATAGGCTATTATGCCACTTATCCCCCATTCGGAGTTTGACTGTATCAGAGAAGAGGTAGGCTAAAGAAATCTCATTTGCAATAGAACTGTACCAGATATGTCCATACAACTACTGGTTAGTGTTCAATAGCACCCTAGACCATTCAGTAATGGTATATTTTGTAGGGATTTCGGTTTTTCTGATAAATGAGAGAAAAGTGATGGAGTCCTATGTTCCTATCACCAAAAAGTACAATTTCCGTCTAAACTAAAGCTAAGTTTACAGGACTATAATTCAGTATTTCTTTAGTTAAATAATTGTCTGACTATTTGGTGATGTAGGACAGCCACCTGGTCCATACCTCAGCAAATCTAAAGAGGAAAAGAGTGGTCACTCTCAAGTTATGGGCTCTTTTGTCACCTTTCCCACATTCGGCCTGGTCTAATTTGGCTCTTTTTCAGGGATTGGTGTAGTTCTAAAGAACAACCAAAAAAGCATTTTTTTCCCCAAAATAAAATTTGACAACAATACATTTCATTAATGGGAGACCCTAAAGATAAGAAAAATCATTGTTGTCATTTGTTCTACCTCGGGTAGGGGTATCTCGAAAACTAAAGCCTTTTTTGAGGACTTGCTGCTTGACTAAAGGCTTAGCAGTACAGATAAATGTGGGCTCACTATTTGGCAAGCAACCGGTCACAGTTGCCCTGTTTATCTCATGTCTTATAAAAGCTTATTAATGATTTATAAAGTGTTCACAACCTAATTAATAAATTATTTGAATTACAAACTATTCGTAAACCCTTTATAAGGGTAGTCTTATTGTAAAGTGATACCGATATAGGCACAGATCTATACAATTGTATTACAAACCTGATTAAGGGTTCAGTTCCTGGGTTACAAAAACCGGTGGTTTGGAATAATGTACGGTTTTGGCACTCAAACTACAGAAGAAAAACGTGTAGGCCTATGCACAATTTCCTGCACCCCACCACTGGTTCTCATGACCTTACTCCCATTTCAACTTGTCTATTGTATTGCACAAAAATATACCTACCATCCTTCTCTTCATCATATCCGCCTCCCTTTAGTGTCACCATTCAGCTCTATAATACTAATGTAAAAATAATGAACACTCACTGGATCCATTTTATTTAGAGCCAGATTGTTTTACTTTTAAAATAAATGTTGCTAATAAAACAAATACTTCACATTTTCTATGCCGGACATACATTTATAATACATGTGTTTTTTGATATTATATTATATTTGTATCCTGCAGTCTTGCCGGTGGATGTTGTAGGAAGTGAATAGCACCGTATGAGGGCAGTAATGAAACGTCATGAATTCAAATCTGCCGTTAAAAATAATAGAAGAAGAAGCAGCAGCAGGCATTGCTAGTAGAGCATAGATCCGCATCATCGATTGTCTGCATCTGTGCTCTGCTGAGGTGGCTTGCTTTCGTACCACATGGCAGGACTGCACGAGAGTCAGATATGTTATGAAGGAGCAGATTAAATACTGAGACATATCCTACATTTAAATTACTAGTGGACTGTAAGAGAAATATAAAACAGAAAATGTCGCAGTTACAAACGAGGTTCTTCACGGAGGACAAAAGGTGAGCTTTTATTCTCTTTAACGAAACAAGAAAACTGAAAAACACAGTTACGGCTAGCAGGCTGGCTAACAAGCTGTAACTGTAAACAGTACAAAATAAATGTGAATCATTGCACTGCATTTTAATAAAAATGTGTACTGTACATTTGATCTTAGCCTTTTTAAAACTATTAGCCTCTTAATATTTCCTAGCTGTGAGTTTGTTGGTTTAGCTAGCTAATGCTAACATTCCATCCCAATATATGATTGATTGCTATCCTTATATTTGAATATAAGTTTTACATCAGCTTATATGACATAAAAAGAATATAAAATGTGAGTTTCATGGGTGTAACCTTTGTTGATAGGTATGCAGTAGATGATGTCCCATTCTCCATCCCTGCTGCCTCTGAGGTGCTGGACCTCAGCAATGTCATCAACAAGCTGCTGGAGGCTAGAAATGGTAAGAAAACACACTCTACTTTAACATTAGCAAGAATGTTTTAATATTTCTGGCCCATTGTTTCCCTGTTGTGTGTCAAAGTTAAGTTAATATCAGAGGTATAACTGAACATAAAGTCTCCCTTGTATTATCTTACGCATTGATTTCTTAGATTATTGTCCGCATCTTGTACTAAACAAATTTCCTGTTTATGTATAACTTGTCCTTTCTATTGTTTATACTGAGCCTTACTTAAATATAATGGTTCACTAAATCCCTGTACTCTATCACAAATATAGGTGATATATTGAGTGAATAACATGTTGTTATTTGTTTCCACAGCATCTCACAGCAAAGTGGAGTTCGACTTCCTGGTCAGGGGCCAGTTCCTGCGAACGTCGCTGTCCACTCACATGGAAACAGAGGGCATATCAACGGTAGGATCAGCCTCACTGAGGGGATATGACGTCTGCCTCTAACATTCGTGGCACTGAATCATTCCAGTGTCCTGTTTTGCCATGAGAAAGAGTTGTTTGGTGGATGTACAAATTGTGACGAATTTGATATTTATGCATCAGTGTGTCTGTGTGTGTTTCAGGAAGATGTGGTGGAGATAGAGTATGTCGAGAGGATCACAGCCCCAGAACCCGAGGAGTGCATGATGCATGATGACTGGATTAGCGCTGTGGATGCAGATGCTGAATGGTAAGATGATAGACTGCAGACTGTCAAAGAGGGGCATTTTTCCCAAACAACAAGTTTGTTTAGCTTGCATTTTTCTTTTTTTGCAGGATCCTTACAGGATCATACGACAAGACAGCCAAGATCTGGTCCCTGGAGGGCAAGCCAGTGATGACGGTGGCCGGACACACAGACGTGGTTAAAGACGTGGCCTGGGTCAAAAGAGGTGAGCAGGACAGAGTGGCAGACATTCACTCTGCTTGTTCTAAAGACAGCCTCTCTTAAAACATCTGTGTGGACGTTTCTGTGCAGATGGTCTCAACTCCCTGCTTCTGACGGCCTCTCTGGACCAAACCCTGCTGCTCTGGGAGTGGAACTCTGAGAGGAACAAGGTGAAAGCCATACACTGCTGCCGGGGACACACAGGAAGCGTGGACACTGTAGCAACAGACCCCACCGGCTCAAAGGTAGAGAGGGATGGGCAGTGGTTAAATGCACAGGGAGAAGAATATGTTTATAAATGCAAAATTTGTGTTACAGTTCTGCAGTGGCTCCTGGGACAAAATGTTGAAGATTTGGTCAGCAGGTAGGATGCCAGCATGTCTGCCTTTTGAATTTTGCACAACTGATTAAAAAGCAAACATTCAACAAGCTAAATGTCTCCCTCAGTGCCCACAGATGAGGCGGACGAAGTAGAAGAGCCTGCCGACAGACCGAGGAAGAAGCAGAAGACTCAACAGCTCGGCCTCACCAGGGTGAGTGCTCCAAGGGCCAAACAATTAAGTGTTGAATATGAACAACAAACTGAGGTTCCCATTTCCTCCCACTGACAGACTCCCATCATGACGTTATCTGGACACAACGAGGCCGTGTCCTCCGTCCTGTGGTGCGACAGTGAGGAAGTTTGCAGTGCATCATGGGACCACACCATCCGTGTGTGGGACGTAGAGACGGGAGAGATGAAGACTACGCTGGTGAGACGAGCAGAAACTTCATTCAAACCGTTTTTAGTTTGTCATTCCCACAATAAACTGACTGATGTTTTTTGTTTTTCCGCAGACGGGCAGCAAAGTGTTTAACAGTATTTCCTACTCACCTCTGTGTCGGCGGCTGGCCTCCGGCAGCACTGACAGACACATCAGGCTGTGGGACCCCCGCACCAAAGGTACCACTACCTACCCCACACCTCTCAAAGCCTAATGTCATTTTGCCTGCATCCCCTATACATCACAATCAAAGCTCTTTTAGCAGCATCATTTATTCACCTTTTTATAAGCACTGTTCTGGCTTTTCCTCTGCCTGTTTTTAACACCCTCCTCTCCTGCAGACGGCTCTCTGGTGCTGCTGTCTCTGACCTCTCACACCGGCTGGGTCACCTCGGTGAAGTGGGCACCAGCACATGAGCACCAGCTGGTCTCCGGTTCCCTTGACAACCTGGTCAAACTGTGGGACACCAGAAGGTCTGTGAAGCACTGTATACTTCTTTGGTTAAATCCAAAGTCAGTTAAAAGTTTCCATTAGGCCTAAATTAACATTATGCAAGAAACCTGCCAGCATTGTGTTATCTTAAAGCTGGAAACAGGGCTGTATTCTTTTTTTAAGATAATGAAAAGTATGTGTTTTTTTGAAGTGGGCTTCTCAGGGCAGCAATACATTTTTGCAACTGATCATTTAACTACCCACTTAATAAGTTCCAGTTCTTTTTTTGCTAAATCAAGACAATTTCAACCTTCATATTACCTTCAGCAGCCAATCACAGCACAGGCTGGATCATGGTCCATACTTTTTGAGTATGAAAGGTTACTCGTGCAGACACGTAGAGCAGGAAATCCTGTTCATTCCACACGTGTGAGAGTAAACAGCTTACTGTCTGGAAAGGCTTCCTGTCTTTGTTAGAATTAAATACTTTGTCAGTTCATTAAAACTTTCTTAAGCATACACTGTCTTCTTTATTATTTTGGTATAAATATTTTTCCTTTTAGTGGGTCTCAGTTAAACCTCAGTGTTAAAAGTAATTCAGTGAATTAAGTTAACTTTCAAATGCTCTTATGTCTTCCAGCTGTAAGGCTCCTTTGTATGACTTGGCTGCTCACGAGGACAAAGTGTTTTGTGTGGACTGGACAGAAAGTGGGGTAAGACTGTTTTCCACAAATATAACCACAAAGGAATATGTGCAGCAACTTCAAATATTTAAGTTCAACTCATTCCAGCAACGTGTAACTTACAGTTTCTTGTATGTGTTTTGTTTCAGCTGATGCTGAGCGGAGGTGCAGATAACAAGCTGTACACCTACAAATATTCTGGTGTTCAGACGGATGCGGGGGCATAGGATGAACAGCATGGACACAGACATGATGACAGAATGATGGACAGTATCAGTGTTGTGACACGCAGATGGAAGCGGCAGTGCTTTTCAATTGTGTACAGTACAAAACTATCCTTGCGTGGTTTCTCTGCTGTCTTGGTCCTGTTATTTTTACCCTTCTAAACTTTTACACATATTTTCTTATGGATTGTCTTTGTTTTCCTGTAATCCCAAAAAAGTATAAATTAATTGTGTCTCCTGAAATGTCTCTTCTATTTAATGTTTCATTAATTAGTGCTTGGTAGTAGATGTGATAATTTGAGGTTGGCAATTAGTTGAAGGGACTTTAGAGATTCATAAAACACAATAGTGATTTAATGGCAATGACCAATTATTATTAATATTTGAATACCCATCAGTTTATCGAGTAATTTTAACCTTTAGCAGCTGCAACAAAGTGACAAAAACATTAATGTCAATAATTATAATACAGTAATGTTAGGTATTCTAAAATAGGTCAAATATATAATGAGTACTTTACCTTTGGTACTTAAAGTTAATTTTGATATTACTTTTGACCTGTACTTGAGTAGGATTCTAAATGCAGAACTTTGAAGTATTTTTTTCACACTGTTACTACTTTTATCTTGTGTAAATTGAGTACTTCTTCCACCAGTGGAGCACAGTCATTTTACTATTATATTGGAAGGCAACATTTGAACATGACCAGAGAGGCGTTAAAAAGAAGAGGTATCACTATGATAGGTCTTTTTGTACCATAATATTAAAGCAGGGTGTCTGGGGGTTGACCAAAGTGTTATTTTACTAACATTTTATCTTCCCTCTCCTTTTCAACTAGTGGAACTGCAACACATTCAATATAGGTATAAGTATTGTAACTTCTTATTAATCAGTGTAGTACACATTTTTTGCTGTGAATGCCTACTTGGCAATAGATGAACTTTTGTGTGGCCTGTCTGTTAATGTATACAGTCTATGGGCCTGTACAGCAGCGCCCTCTGGTGTCCAATCAGCGCTACAGCTGCTTTGCATATCCTGTTTCTCTGACTCATTATGACGGCTATCGGCAGAGGAGGCTAGCCGAGCTGAGCTGCACAGATGCTCGGACTGCTGGACAAAACTAAAAGCAAGGTAAAGGTAAATTCCCTTTTTAAATTATCTGACCATAATATAATAACCGTAATGTTTGTATATCTCGTTATAGTTATATACTGTTCCTACAACTGCACTTGCTAGGAGCTAAACTGCTGCTAGCAAACAAGCCGTTTTCGGCTGGCTTTTCTCGACTACCTTTACATTTATTTTTACTTTTACACCTTGTATTCACATCGTCGATAAAAATGGTCGAATGACACACGCCTTAGCCTTCTTATTGTGTGTTTCAAGGCAGCCTTTCGTGTAACTGAACACCTGCTCCACAGCCAGCTGGCTCTCAATTCTCCTCACTCCGAAAAGCACAGGTGTCTGGTCTCTGCTGGATAAACCATATTAGATTAGCTTTTTAGCCTTCAGCACTGAGGGGTTTTTGTGCAGTCACAGATAACACTCTATGATAACCGCTTATAACTTGATTATAATTCAGTAGGGGAACAGCTGTCAGCTCTGTTTACATGCTGGCTGTTGAATGTATCCCAGCAAACATCTACAGGGAAACCAGCAGCAGTTATTTCTCAGTGTGACTGTCAGTAGCATTATATTAGTTAGATTTACACAACACCTTCAGTCTATATGCCTGACCATTGCTTTCTGTGTGAGGAAGAGGAAACACAATGGACTTCAGTTACTAGTTTACTCTATACTAAAAATCCATTTAAATCCTACTGCTATCCTTAGGCAAGCTGCATATGAGTTCAAATTCAAAACATGTTTAATGAATGAAGAACAGATCATCAATGCATTTATTTTGAACCAAGACCTGTTGATTACCTCATTTGGGTTAATATTTAAACAAAACAACATTTCTATTTCTTTTAGTTTTCAGAACTGACAAAGGTTGATATTCAATCATGGACGGGTAAGTGTACAATTCATATTTACATCATTGTTGACTCTAGCCAGTGCCATTATTATAATGATCATAATTACTGTATTAAACACTGTTGTTATAAGAGCAGCTCACTTAAGTGTGTGTGCTCCAGGTTTGCGGGGGACATGCTGAGCGGGGGCCGGGCCCTGCTCGGCGAGGACAGCTCGGTGATGGCTCGCATGCAGAAGAAGTTCTGGAAGACTAAGCAGGTCCTCATCAAAGCCACGGGCAAGAAGGAGGACGAGTACGTGGTGGCCTCAGACGCTGACCTGGACGCCAAGCTGGAGGTAGGGGGGGGAGGGGTTACCAATATCTACATGTTATAATTGTAAATAACATGTAGATATTGTTTACCAGCTTGTGTCATTGTGAGGGATAATGTATCTGCAGCAGGATTACAAAGAGAGGCTTTAGAACATCAGCGGCACAAGGGGTCCATTGTTTGCAGAGATGTTTTCTTGATGTCTGGATATAAGGGTTGTAATTACAGGTGAGATGTCTGACAGTACATCACAGCTCTGAACGTCACGCACAGCTTTACAGTCTGATCCTCTGCAGTCGCTTCACATCACTGCAAGGAATGAGAGCTGGTAGTTTGGATTGGCTGACATTTAGTTGTGTAACTGTCTGCGATGTGCTAGAGTTTCACTGAGCTGCTAAGGGATGCACTGTGAGGCTTTTGTTCGCTCAGGAATAAGATCAGGCCTCTACTGTCCTCCTGAAATCATTGTCCCTCCATCCATCCCCGCTGAGACAAAGACAGAAAAGAGGAGAAAGTGTTTCACGATCATTTACAAAGAGTACATTCAGATCATCTTTTGCCTACCTGCCGTGTGGCATTTTAGCTCTCCTGATTCCCTGGCCTTCTAGCTAACTTGATTTAATCAGGTTTTACATTTCAGTGATCTGCAAGCTACTAGAATTAGATTTGATCATATCCGATTTTATCCTTTATTTCATTTTTCAGAGTATGACTGTCACCATTAGATAAGACACAGTTTTAGTTAGATGTACAGATATAGGGTCACGTCAGATAAGGAAACATCAGATCTTATTAAGTCAATCTTTCCAGCATCAGTACCATTATACATTTCATCTAGTTTTAAGTGAATTTATCCACATTGGATTGTCTTTTCTTTTTTTTCTGACAAAATCTCAAGTAGAAAAACAGAACTGATGTATTTAAGTGTATTTGCACGAAGCCATGCGTGGATGTTTATTTCCGTCTGCTTCTGGTTTTCCCCTGCCCCTGTGAGTCAGGCAGAGCAGATGGCATAAGACCAACATGATCTTGATGAATCAATCAGTATTGGTCGTCTTAGTAATACAACATATAAGAGGTGTGTTGCTCAGGAGCAGTGACCTGTACACAGGCAGGGATCTGACACTGCTGAGGCAAACGGAAAGAAGGCAGTGAGTGTTTATTCTAAAGTTAATCAGTAACTCCACGTAAAAGTCACCTCCTCCCTCTGCTCTCAGTCTACAGTCTCACACCTGAAGAGGCAGGCATGGATGGCTTTATGAAATATAGGAGTGTTCAAAAGATTTCACTATGACTGTGACTAAAAGATAATCTAATTATTTTCCATAAATGGTCTTTGGCAATCCCACGCTAATATAAAAGGAGCAGCCCAAGGATATATTCAAGTGGTCTGCAGTTAGTTCTCCACGCTGCCTCCATTAATGACCATGTCCCCGAGAACCCTGCTGTATGAAGCTCAATTTCAGACTCACACAATATGGCATTATGTTCTTCCAGCTGAATCCCCAACTGAAACTTTATTAAGATGTCCTAGCCTGATCTCTTTAACATCATTCCAATCATGACGTAAATCCTTGTGTTGCATTGTGGGTGCATCGCTTTCTATCAGAGAGCAGTATTGAGCGACCTCTAAATCTGTGTTGCTATGACACACAGAGGAGAGGCATCTGACTGCCAGGCAGAAAGCAAGAGAGAGCAAAATATGTCGTGTTAACACTGCAAAATAAAGTCTTGAAATAAGTGGACAGAAAACCAACAAGGTTCTTAAAGGTGTTCTAAAGAAAGGTGTTGAGGATGTATTTGAACCTGGCATGTTTTTTCTTCTACAGTTCTTCCACTCGGTTCAGTCGACATGCACAGAGCTGCTGAAGGTGATTGAGAAGTACCAGCACAGGATCACACGTGAGTAAAACTAAACGCATTACATTACATCACAACAGTAGGAGCTATTTATGTATCATTCTTTCCCGTATACAAGATGACATTGTGTGTGTTTATGATTGTGTTCCTTCCTGTGTGATGCTTTTCTCTAACACTTAAGCTATAAATGGTTGGATAGAGGTTTTTTTTACAAACTAATAAGCCTGTTTTTTTAAACTCAAATAAGTTGTTACAGTGTTAGTGATATTCTTTCTAGCACGGTCGTGGTATGAGGGAGTCAAGATGTGTCTCCTTTGTGTACATGAGGGACTTTGATCTCTTTTCCCAGGTCTGTCTCAGGAGGAGAACGAGCTCGGCCTGTTCCTGCGTTTCCAGGCGGAACACGATCGAACAAAGGCTGGCAACATGATGAACTCCACCAGCAAGGCCCTGTGCACCTCCGCCAAGCAGAGGTCGGCAGCAGGAAATACCAAGCTAATGATCCAGAGTTAAAGTGTTGCCCATACAGTGCATTCTAGACTAATAGCATTAAAATAATGGCTAAAAATGAACAGAGTGAAAAAACATGTGTATTGTTGATTCTGCTGAATAACCTTACTTGGCCATGATACATTATGCTGAATGTCTTTTTTAATTTAGAGAAATGTCACGAGTTCTGTTCATCTTTTTCCATAGGATGGCACTCTGCCCGCCACTGCACCGCCTGCACCAGGAAGTGGAGACGTTCAGGCGGCGCGCCATCGCCGACACGCTGCTGACGGTCACTCACATGGAGAAGGCGCGCACCGAGTACCGAGGGGCTCTGCTCTGGATGAAGGACGTCTCCCAGGAACTCGACCCAGACACATATAAGCAGCTGGAGAAGTTCCGCAAGGTAGAAGGACGCTTGTTTGGGCGTATCAGGTGCTGGTTGACACTCTCATGATATCAATGATGTGTCTCTTTGTCTGTTTTTTAGGTCCAATCCCAGGTCAGAGGGACGAAGGGCCAGTTTGAGAAGCTGAAGAACGATGTGTGTCAGAAGGTGGACATGCTGGGAGCGAGCCGCTGCAACATGCTTTCACACTCCCTCTGTACCTACCAGGTGTGTGTCTGTCAACACCATATCATCTCTGTTAGACTCTGCTTTGATTACAATATGTACCTGTATGCTTTAAGAATGAATGCAGTATCCCGATCTGTCTCCCTGCTTGTTTGTCTTTCTTGTTTTACTCAATCAAGCCTTTACTATTGCACAAAAACACACTAACACCAATTAACATCTGACTTGTGTCTTCAGTGTGGAGGATTAAATGAGGCTTTTATTCCCAGGACACATGACTCTGCAGAAGTTGCAGTATTAGTCAGCTCCAGCTCGGGTTGCCTATGATGTAAACATGACACTCAGGTGGACACGATCATTTCCACTCAATTTTACGGCGTGTTGCTGTAAATAAATAATAAAGAAAACCATCAGGGATTTAGAAAGTTATGTAAATAAATAATAAAGAAAACCATCAGGGATTTAGACAGTTATTATAATTTATTTACGTCAAACACATACAATATACATGCTTCCCTCAGAGCCACCATACTTAATTGACAGAAAGGCATACTCTTCTACCGGCACTGGGGAAAGAGTCCATTGCCTATGTTTTAAAGGTTTCCGGTGTTACAAAGCCTGCATGTATTCACTCATTCTGGTTGGAAACAGTACTATTGAATATCTTTCGTTCCTGTCTCGGCAGACCACTCTGCTGCAGTTCTGGGAGAAGACGGCCCACGCTATGTCAGGAATCCACGAGGCCTTCCAAGGACATGAACCATACCACTTCACCACACTCAAGGTACTTCACACTCGAGTGTTGCATTCCCTGCAGACAGCAACAACACAGTGTGAATACCAACTGTCCTTTTAGCAGTCCTCCCAACATAGATCTGATCATCTGTGTTTTTATATTACATTGTAAATTGTTCCTCCCTTTTACAGGACCTGAGAGACCCACTGGAGGAACTAGCAGAGGCACAGCAACATGTTGAGAAGAAGAAGAAGAAGGAGAAGGCTCTACAGAGCAACACAGAGAGGTGAGAGAACTAAATAAATCTAAATTAGTCCGTCTTGTGTTTTGTGTTGAAAACCGCTTTTGTATGTGATGATCATAGTGCTCCGTTTGGTAGTTGAGGGCTTTAAAAACGTTGTGCCTAAAGAGAGTGCAGCTCCAAATCAAACAGAGGCTGCTGCATTGCTAAAAATAGAAAAACTGTGTCTAGCCAGCTACTAAGGCCCTTTCTCATTTATTCCCCTCCTCCCTTCCTCCTCCTTCTTCCTCAGTCTGGTGTCCTTGGATGACGACAAGCCATCCGGAAGTGCTTCTGGCTCAGGTATGTGTTGCCACCTCTAGGCTGAGACACACAGTTCTAGGGACATGTTTACAGTGTGGTACAATCATGAATGAGCCTGGGCATCCTGCAGAAAAAGTGGAGAAGTGAGTAGTAGTGAACAGAAGGCGCATTTAAGGAGGTCAAATATCACGAATAATTTGTTGACATGTTTCATCTCTGCGCTACACTCTTGAATTGACATGGTCATAATTGTGTGTCTTTAAAATGAACTAAACAGCAAAGTTTGGACGCCTGTCGGCTTTATGATCCTTTAGTCTCAGCGCACCAACACACTGCCGCACCTCCGGCTGCCCTGCACGCTCTCAGAGGACTGTCCACGGACTCTGAGGATGACCTGATGCTCATGGCCGGTGTTGAGCCACAGTCCCAGCCCTCAGCCCCCCTTCACGTCCCTCTGCAGCCCCAGCTCCTGCCTCCTCATCAGGGGGGGAGGCCCAGTGAGCCCTGGGGCTTTGAGAGCCTCCAGTCACAGCTGCCTGCCTTCGGTAAACTGGCCTGCTCTCTCCTCCACCTGTGAACTCTGACTCCCATCTCACTTTGCTGGCTGTGGCATGGGATTTCAACTCTGCTTCCTTTGGCTCTTTGGATCTGGACTCACTCTGCCTGTCTGGTGCAAAGGGCTTTGTTCCCTTCACTACGGGGAAACTGTTATCTTCACTTCTGAGACTCTTTTCATTGAACAGCATGCTCCTTAAAGGTCTGATTTGAAGAGCATCAACCCTCAGTTGTTAGTTATGGTCTTTTTTCTTGTCATTTCAGCCCTCTCCTTTGGCTTTATCTTTCTATGGTTGATTCTGTGAACCTCTGCAATCTGAATCTGTGCTTAGAAACAAGCTTGTAAATCTGTGACCTTTCAGAATCTCCTGTGATGTAGTTACCTCCAAAGATATAAGACTGTTCTTCTGTCCGTCTAGGTGTGGGTCCATTTTCAGGTGATCCGTTCCACTCTGCCGGGACAGAGCTGAGAGCAGAAGAGGAGGATGGTGAAGGGGGGGACATGGCTTTCCTAAAAGACCTCCTGAGCCCGGGCCCCGGGGCCAGCGACGAGTTCAGCAGGGAGTGGCAGGACGCCTTCGGGCTCTTCGACCCCCCCACTGTCCGTCCACAGAGCACAGCAGCAACTGGTGGGCCGGCAGAGAGTAGAGCGCCAACGGAGGGTAATGGCCCGGCAGCACGTCCTCCCTCGGGCCCCCCCTCCCCCACAGGCTTCCTGCCCTCCCAGCTGCTGGACCATAGCCTGAGCTCCACAGGTGAGCAACCCTGCTCTCTGCTGGAGAGAGAATCTCACTGCAGCTCACCGACACATCTCTCACTACTCTTGTTAACCCTGCTTTGTGTTTTAGGCTGGTCAACCCCTCCTATGTTCCAAGCTCCGCCTCTGCAGCCTCCTCCTGGTCACAGCCAATCAGCTCAGCCGGCTCCAAGTCCAGCAGCCAATGGTATGCTTCTTCTTAACCTGCGTCCTCCACTGTCTGAGTACAGTAAACTTTATAGTTGGGAAATGTGTCTTTAGCGCGGTGCGTTCAATCTATATTCACACAGAGTTACACAACAGGGTTTATATATAAAGAGGCAATGGATACACTTTTTACTCAACCTATTATGAATTATGTCTGGTTATTTAATAATGTACAAGCTGCAGAATAAGGACCCAATCGGGTTATCTTTGGAAACCTTCTTGTAACGGTGTGTGTGTGTGTGTGTGTGTGTGTGTGTGTGTGTGTGTGTGCGTGTGCAGGTGCATCTAAAAGAACATAGTCCGCCTGGTTCAACCTGTTTGCCGACCTGGACCCCCTCTCCAACCCCGACGCTATCGGACGCTCCCCAGATGAGCTGCTCAATGCATAAAACTGTATGAAGACTCTTCTGGATGTCGGCAAGTTTTTTTAAGTCCGTAAGTAAGTAAGATGCAACACACTAAATCACACTGGAAAAGGAAACACTGTTGCTTATTAAACGCTCTCTCTGCAGCATTGTAAATGACTCTTAACACACACATGCTCAACCTACTCTGACTCATACACACACAGTTTCAGTTATTGCAGCTTCTGCCAAGCAGAGAATGTTTGGGTTACAGCTTTATTTTAGACGGCACTGTGAGTTTTATTCATGTTAGTTTGGGTGTGTCGGTTTGCTGTGTACACACATCACAGAGGACCCAGGACGTAAACGGAAATTCTCTGCACACGATTGTCACGGTTGGATGAAGAGCGTACAGTGTTTCTATATGCATATACATAGCTAACATTGTGTATGTAAGATGGGACCCTGAACCTGTCACTGAGCCTGTATTTGCACACAAACAACAACAGTTAGATCTGGGGCTTGTTTCTCCCAGCAACAACAGTGCATTATCCAGCTATTTGTAGACCTAACTCTGTTTTTTTTATACCACAATGCTGACTCATTTCCTTTTCCTTTACCGGTGTGACTCAACATGGAATGAAAGTCCATCTCTGCCACTAAAATAAATACAATTTATATATAATCTTAGCCTGATGAAAAATATCAAAGTAACTTTGGCACATTTTTTTAATTAATTGGTATCTAGAAATAATGACATCTCTGGAACTTGGACACTCCATGGGTTAGATGAATAATGTGACACGTTTTAATCTCTGTAAGGAAATGTCAGTTTTCTTTCTTTCGGTCTAGAGGCCACACTGATCTGTGATATGTCCTGTCTCTGGAGAGGACTGATGGGGTCATTATGACCACCTGGCCTGGAGTCATATTACAGACACAATGGAAAATCACTGTCCACAGCCTCTTTATGTCACTGTCCACCTTCATCCCAGATTCTCCTGGCTCTGAATGTAGTGTTAAAAATAGGACGCGAAAGAAAGTCCCATCTGTTGTTCAAATTTCACAATAGCAATTTCACAAAGGCCGAGGAAAATGTGTGAAGGATGAAACATTTATTTTTTGTCTCTTGAACGATGTTTTAAACTAGGACACTGGAAAAACGTATTTTCTAATGGGTGGATTATTTAAATCCTATAAACATGCAAATCTAAATGTATTTATTTCCAGCTTATATAAAAACGACTAACTCTAACACTGTAAAATACTGTTCACTTTTAACTGTGTGAGAATTCAAAGATGCACTTTGGAAATGTGTTATTGTTTTATGGGAAAAGGGAGTGGAGAACTGTTACCATGTCACACACCTGTTCTGGAATTGATTCCCACTGGTTGTTTTTTTTGTTGAAGGGAAGAACTACCAATACTGACATTTTTGAATGTTTACGAAATGCTAAAAGGAACTGTTGCAAATGTAGAGTGGAGTTTGTAAGATTTATTTGATGTTTCATGAGTTGTTGAGATGTGAATATCATGCCCACATGCATCGACTTAAACCAAATCCAAAGTTATGGCTTTGTGTGCCTCAGCAGAGGTAATCAGATGGAAATGCATCATGGGAAAAAAAACACATTTTATACAAGCTGTATATTATTATCTCTGCTCTTCTTTTTGTTTTAAATGTGACACATGAAGGGAAACTACTGTATTATTTTGTCACATAATGTAATACTGTATAATAATAATACATAATACTGTATACTGCTAGATTTACACTTTATTTACACAAAAAGAATGTATTTCTCAAGTCAATCACAAATGCTTTATTTAATTCAACTATGCCTTTTTATTTCACTCGAGGGGTTTAACAGATGAAAACTTGGCAGTTCTGTTTCCAATAAACTGGACAAGCAAACAAAGAATCACTGCGTTGAGCCTCATTCCAAAATGCTGTTTATCCACTCTGATAAAAGTTGGTATCTGAAATAAATCTGTATTTGTATGAATCTAATCTTCCAAACTACTTTTGTAAACAGACGTTTAAAAACGACAGAAAGTCATGTCGCTGTAGGTGTGATTGTTTTCAGCAAGTGGATATCTCATTTTGGAACAGAACTCCTCATTTTTAGAAACATGCCAAATCAGGTCACTGGATAAACAACATCCACACTTCTCTCTACTTCTACTCTGCTACAGGTTACATCGTTTCCTTGTTGTGAGGCTACATACATAGCAGCTGTTGGTTTGCTCTCTTCGTAGTGTAGACTTGTTAGTGTGCACGAGAAGTAAGTCATCTTTTTTTGTATCCTATTCACTACAACCTGAGATGGAGGATGTAATCTATTCTTGGTTAAAATTCTCTGAAGACCCAATAACACTCCTGATAAATAAATACATAATTATTCACAATAATGAGACATGTAATTCACAGTACTCAGCGGAGAAAAAGCAGGAGGGGAGGAAGGAGGGAGGGAAGGAGGGAGGGAGGGGGTCTATGGGACAACTCATTCAGATACATATCTTTGTCAGCCGATAATACAAACACAGTGTGCCTTTTATATTTACAATTCCAGTACATTCCTATCCCACCGAAGCAGGTACAGTTAAGTAGTAATGACATTTACAGGAAGAGGGGCCGGGGCATGGAGAGGCCGTCAATCAACAGCTCCAACTGTGGCGCAGCGTGTCTGAAATGTTTCGATGCAAAAGATAAAAAGTGGTGCATTTCAAACTAAGTTTAAATATTGATTAGGTTGACAGAAATACTGTGGAGACCGTCTTGTAAAGTAGTGATATTGGGATGTGTTCACCAGCCTCTCCATGTTCAGGGCTCTGCAGGCCCGAGGGAGCCAAGATGAGACCCGTCTGGACACATTTCACAACAACACGAGCTGAGCAAGACAGGAGGAAATCAGCTTTACAGTGACTGAGGGAGATAGGAGGAGAGCAAGAGCTGGAACAAAAGGGGGGTGTGTGTGATGGACGTGGAGTAAGGAGGGACATTTCGGAAGCAAAGGCTGGCGCTTGGGAAGGAGGGGCAGGCAGACAGGTAGAACACGCTGCACACATCATAGCCCTGGCCTGCGTTTCCCATAGATACACAGCAGCAGGCGGGGAGCGGGGGGGGGGGGGGCTCACTGCTACCTGTTAGTGAAGCTTGTACCCGTTTACAGTCAGCCTGCACTGCAAATGGCTGATAAAAGTACACATAAATATGTTTTAAAACCCCCTACAGTGGTGGGAGAAGTATTCAGATATTTTACTTAAGTAAAATAACTAGTACTACACTGTAAAAAATACTCCATTACAAGTAAGTCTTGCATTGAGAAACTCATTGCAGAAAAATACATTACAAATAAAAAAAAATATTAGCAAGTAAAAGCAGCAAATCTTCAAACACAAGCTGGAAATGCGAAGTGTTTTTATACAAAAACTTAATTAAATTGCTGCAAATTAATTTCCTGTCCTACTAATTGTTTTAGGTACTTAAATATATTGTTGGATAGATTACATTTACAACAAATCATAATAAATCTAAAGTAAGTAAAGCTTAAAAATGAAATGTAGTGAAGTACAAAGTATAATGTTTCCCTTTTAAGTTGTAAAAATGCTTCAAAATGTGTACTTACTTACAGTACTTGAGTAAATGTACTTAGTTACTTTCCACCACTGCTTGTATATTCTGCTTGTCCCTGCCTGTTTGTGTGTATCTATGGCCAGCATAGGGCTCACATCATGTGTGCCATGCTAAAGGGTCAAACATGATGGAGCACTACGCGGGTTGAGCGAAACTGAGCGGTCTAAAATATCAGGCACATTTTTAAACTCCTCCTTGTCGCGACCGTTCAAGTTTTGCTACGATATATCTGGCAGCACCAAAATTAGCCTCCGTGGTCAAACTCTTGGTCACCGAGGAAACCAGTGGCCTTTTTTTCTTTCTTTTTCTTTTACAATGGAAGGCATATTTTATATCAAGAGAAATAACTACAGATAGAAAAAGAGATATATCCGTGGAAAGGCGCCATGGTATAATACGATGAAAAAAAGAGTCTGTCCTTTCGCCCTTTTCCTCCCGAGAAAACAGGAACATAACCAGCTCTAAAGGTAGAAGAAAGCGATGAAATGTTAGCTGCACACCCCCGCACAGGGCTGCAGGACTCTCACGTTGTAGTCGTCTGAGGAGAGGCAGTGGGAAGCGCTTTGTCAACGAGATAAGGACATCAGAGAGAGCTTAGCTGGCATGCTGAAGGCATTCTTAGAGCAGAAGGGTTGTTTCCTAGTAAGTCTTTTCTGATTTTGTTGAAGGGGGGGGGTTCTTCCGGGGGTGACGTGAAGCCGTCAGAAGCTCTCGGGCTCCTCCAGGAGGCAGGGCTGGGTGGACAGAGGCACGAGGGACGGGGACAGGCTCCGGAGGCCCACTGGACCTCGGGGCCCGGGGAGTAAGGGCTTCAGGATGCTGACGAGGCAGAAGGCGGAGCCGATGTTGGGGATGAAGTTGACCTTGTTGCGGTCGGGACACAAGAAGCGAGGGAGGTCCTGTGGAGGTTTGGTTCTGTGGACACATGCAGGGACTCTTAGCCTTCATAACAAGTGGGTACATAACATTAACAAATAAAGAACATCCTGTAAAAAAAAATCGAATCTAAAAATCCACTCACATGGTGTCCTCGGACACTTTGACTTTCTCGCAGCCCTCTGGAGGTTCCCTCTTGAACATGTAGCTGTTGTTGGGTCTGGGGGAGGCGGCATATTTAGGCAGTGGGGAGCAGGGGCCCAGCTCTGAAGACAAACAGAGAGGGGAGGCTGTCGGTCAAAGGTCGGCAGCAGATCATGCTCACAGAGACACGGCGTGCGCACAATGAAGAGTAATATATGGTGTGTGTGAGTCACCTTTGTCCTCGTAGGGGCTGCCTCCACTCGTGTCGTTGAGGACGGTGAGGTAGGAGGGCGAGATGGAGTCGGGCCGGCTACTGCAGTTGCTATGGTTACCGCTCAGGCCGCCCCCCGAGGGAGTCTGTGTGTCTATGCTGCGGGTGCTGCTGCTGCGCCGTGGGGGGACGGGTGGGGGTGCGCGGTGCCCATCTGGGACATCCTGTGGCTGTCGCACAACACACACACACACACAAATGAGGTCACAATAACAACATGGACCGGGGGCTTAATCCCCACAGTGGTTGTGTGTGAATTTTTAAAACAATCTCTGAGCTGGCAAAACTCACAACGATGGTGTCCTCTTTTTCAGGCGTGTCCCTGATGATGATGCGTTCAATCTCCTGGTTTAGGCCCTCTACGCTGTTTCGGAAACGAGGGGCCGATGACTTGGATATAGGGATGGGTATCAGGATGGCTTTGGGCATAGGTGACTGCAAAACACACACATGGCTGCTGTCAGTACCGATTCTGCACAAAATCCTTCACAGAAATGGTATTTGGTTAATGTAAGAAAATGAATTGATTTATGATATCATGTCTCAGAATGAATTTAGCTGTAACCTCCTGCAACAACAAATAAGTCAAACCTTTGATCATCTTGATGTAACTTCTAGTGTGTTCCTAGCTCTATGCATCAGTTAATGAGCTTGTCAAGTATTGTTAGGAAAGTTGCATGATGACTCTTTTCCCTTTGTCTCCTGAGGAGGCCCTGAAAGCAGGACAGCTGCACTCCAGCAGACTCCACAGGGAGCAGAGGACCAGCCCTGTTGCTGTCAAAATACAGCAACGTGACTGGAGTGTGTGTGTGTGTGTGTGTGTGTGTGTGTGTGTGTGTGTGTGTGTGTGTGTGTGTGTGTGTGTGTGTGTGTGTGTTACTGCATCAGAGAAACCCAATTAAGATGACTTTTCATAGACGAGACTGGTAAAAAGAACACATCAGGAGACACACAGTGACATGAGTTAAATGGGACATCCTGAAAACTCTCTTCTCAACTTTCTTGTCTTTTTTCAGCCCAGACAGAAAAGACACACAGTCTGTGTTGCTTACCTGTGACTGGATGATGGTATGGCTGCCATTGAACGGGGACTTGCGGTCTTTATCCCTCCGATGGCGGCTGCTGCGTTTGCTGCGCTGAAGCTGCTGTCGCAATTTGGCAATCTAGAGAGGTTTTACAAACACACAGAGGGACGTTGTTCTGCAGATGTATAGATTTATACAGCCATGTCTTGTTATTGATGGTGTGTTAGGTGATAACTGAAGCACAATGCTCAGAAAAAGCATTTATTTACAACATAACATGTGTTTATTTTTGGCTTTAAAACAAAGAAACTGACCTCCTTGAGCTGGTCGGTGCTCCCACAGGAGGCCGAGCGTTTGTGAGAGCCCCTCCTCCTCTCATCTGCCCAGGCCCTGGGGGTCTAACACACACACACACACACACACACACACCGGTTAGAGCTTTATTTCAGATATAGTACAAAATAGGGGTTTTCTATGAGAAGCAACTGGTGTTGCCAGTGTCACACTTTGTAGCTGATGCTGTTTTATTCTGATGCCTAGGTAAAACAGGTTACAGAAATATCTTACAGCTTCTGTTTGACCAGACTCTGGTTCAAAGTCAGTCTGTGAGTAATAGTCAAAGACAGCAACACAGCATCATGATGCAACCGTCTGCAATCTCTCTTAACCCCTTTGCATTGATTGCCTGCAGCTTCTTAAACACACATGTCTTCAAAGCTATCTTTAAGAAGCAAGAACACACACATTCATTCATTGTCACTAACATTGTAGTTGTTTATATCTTACATACAAACCAAACTCAAATTCATATACCACACACAATGCGTAACCCCCCCGCAGCACTGACCTGCGTCGCTTTGTCCCTCATGTAGGGAGAGTACGGGTGCTGGCAGTCGTCCTGAGGCCAGGGACCTGTCAGGTGAGCGCCAGCAGTCGCGCCCTGCGAGGGCCACAGCTGGATGGATGGCGGGAGCCCGAGAGGAGAATGAGGAGCGGAGCGCTCAGAGGGAGAGGAGGGGGACGCCGGAGGACGTGGAGGAGCACCGCGAGAAGTTGTGGGAGGATAAGGCCACTGATGCAGACTGAGGAGGAAACACAGGGAGGAGTCGGGGTGAGTTGGATGTAAACAAGGTATTTGTCAACACATGGTAAACACATCAACAACTCAACAGCTGGCCTGCAGGATTAGCTCATGCATGCTCGCTCTGTCTGTCTAGGTTAGTGTGTGTGCATGTTAATCCGTCCCATCGTGGGCAGAGCGGATATGCCCCCTTCTAAATCTCCACAGCCCCCTGGTTAATGGCATTAAAACAGCTTAAAGCAAAGGGGGGGGGGGGGGGGGGGGGTGAGGGGCACTCAGTGCAGGTGCCCAACTGACCCTGATTCAGAGCTGCAGCAAAGTGCAGGGTGTCAGCAAAATCTGATTTCAGATTTAAGTTTCAAACACAGACAAACACGTTTACAACGTGTATATCCATGTTTGAATAAAACATGTCTTTCATTCGTTTTTAGTTTTTAGAAAAAAAATAGTTGAACATTGCATTTACTGGGAACTAAATTGCAAGATAGAATTTAAAAGAATAATAATAATAATAATAATAATAATAATATATTATTATATAATATTATTCCTGTGAACAAAAGGACAACCACCTAGCAATAATAAAGCCATGCATGCACAAGCAACAGAATATATGCAAATGCAGAGCATCTTGCAGGATAGAGGATGAATTTATTTATTTCAGCAAAAAAAGCTACTCAGTCCTAGTAACGACGAGACACCGTACATGCATGTATCTGCACCTAAAAACACAGCATTGATTGACAGAGCTTGTCCAGGAGCTATATTTGGCAGGGGACTTGACCAGCACACATCACTGTTGCTAGGGAACGGGACGACTGATCGTCATTAAAACACAGCAGCGCTTGTGTGTGTGTGTGTGTGTGTGTGTGTGTGTGTGTGTGTGTGTGTGTGTGTGTGTGTGTGTGTGTGTGTGTGTGAGAGAGTTTGTGTGAGTAAACAGGGGTTTTCGCATCAGCAGCCTGCTAGCAAAATGCTCAGCTTTCTTTATTTTCACTGCTGTTTTTCCTGTCTGCATTCATAAAATCAACAACCCACTACAATGGACCTGGGGCTCATAGCAATAGTAGCACTGGTAGTAGTATAAAAAACATTCTTTTTTTTAAAGGAGCTACAATGTTACCACCTGAGGAAACTTTAAATCAGAGATAAGCTTATAACACAAGACAGACAGTCCTCGTGAGCCATGAGCAAAAGGCGGACAGTATAACCTGCACAGAAAGTAATAAGCACATAATGTACATCCACTAATTTCTCCATTATTTGTTTTAAATTAAACCATCCAAAAATGTCACAATCACAATATCCCAAAGGCCAAAATAATGCCTTGAAATTGCACATTTTGTTCATCCGAAATCAATTGATCAATCAAAAACCAAAGATAGTCTACCTATGTGTACACACTATCTACATATTATACTGGGAAAATATTCCCATTTAGGTCAGAAAAGTTATTTTTGGTCACATATGTTTAACAAATGACAGTGATCAATACTTGCTTCCTTTTCTGTTGATGGACTAATCCATTATTTGTTACAGCTCTAGTTTACATAACTGCTTTTGCACACTGTCTGCCTAACTGCCATGTGTAGATTGTTAAATATTGCAATAAAAACAAATGTAACAAGAAGACCTTACCACACAAAATAGAATACATCAAACAATAGGTCTAAAGCAGAGATTACGCGATTTAAATCATTATTGATCAGGCTGTTCATTAATTATATTAATATATATTATACATACAATGAAAGATTGCTTCCTGCATATCGAATCCTCATGCCATGTCATGAATAATGAAGGCCAATTGTGTTTACAGGGAGACAAGCATGCAGCTCCTCCCACACATATCATCACTATCATGAAAACGTATTCCATATGGACCTATATGACAAAAGACTCAAGAGTATATAAACAGGCTCATGATTTTGAGATGAATTTAAATGTATGTGAGGAGAAACATGACGGCACTCACCTGCAGGAATGTGACCGAGCTGCGCTGCATGCAAAGGGGCATGGAGCTCTTCACCTCAGCCCCTGTTGATGTCTACAGCTCCGAGAAGATGCTAAAGAGGCGGTGGGAACACAGGGCAAAGGGAAGACTGTGCAGGTTGCAAGTGAGGAAAGCCCTCTCAGATATAAACAGGCAGACATAGAAAATATCCTAAAACGTTTTCGTGGGGATAGCACTGATACAGGAGGTGTCAAAATGGGCGTTGCTGTTTTCGCACCCTGCCTCCTCGTCGTCGTGGATGGATGTTTTTCTCTCCCGGCTGATGCGGCACGACGGCTGAAACAGCTATCGAAACGATTTCAGCACGCAAAAATATGGGTATCAAAAGAGGAAACGTCGTTGTGAGCCTGTTGGAGATCGTGAAGTGTCGGAAAACGACGGAAAATATAGCAGAAGGACAGAAAATACAGAAGGGATAGAAAGAAGAAGGCGGTGATGCTGTGCTAGCCTTGGTTGACACGACGGGAGAGGGACCAGTGTGAAGAACGCCGGAGTAAACACCAATACTTCCGGTTGTTGTTTTTCGAAGTAAAATATATCCTCTGTCGATTTTTACCCAGGACTCTGGATTCATTCTTAATTTGAATAACAGACTAGTTTTGAACAGGCTCAAATTGTACTGTGGGTTTTTTACTTGTTACCACTGTGTGGAAATGAACATTGTTACAGGAAAAGTAAAATATAACATATTAAATAAGAGGCATGCATATAATATTAGAGATAGAAATTACACACATTACAAAAGTACCGATCCAGGTAGACAACAATAAGTACAGTTACAGTATTTTTAAGAAAAAATAAATAAGTGTAGCATATATAAGTAGTGTGCCAGCAGCCATATAATACATTGGATATATAAGGGCTTTAAGGTAGGTCCTGCTATATTCATGCAAAAGCTTCACTTCAGATAGTGTGATAAAATCTAATTTGACATTTTCCAATTTTGTATTATTTATTCGACATATGTGCTAATCAAATTATAGCACACACCTCTGGGGAAAAAGCAGTGGTATAGAATAACAGGAATAACTTGTAGTATCCCTATTTGAAAAAAATAAAACATACAAAAACTATTATCCCAATTCTAAATACAAATTTTAAATATGTATTGACTTGGTCCATTTCCGGTGCAGTCTGATACCTGCAGCTGACTTGACGCTGGAGTGGATCTGTGACGTAGCGTACCAACGCTGCGCTGCTCGTGCTGATGCTGCAGTTGCTAGGGCGCGTGGAGCAGACGGCGGAGGAGAAGTGAAGTAAACAAGTGGAGGACAGGAAATGTCTCCCTCTTGTGTCGAATTTAGCAACTTATGGTGAGTCTGGGAGACCTGTATAACAAGACAGGGCTGAAGACAAACTATATTTAATCAGTTTTGGACTTAAAGCACGTGTACATCTTCAGCGTTGGTCCTGTGCTGCTGCCAATGTCTGCTATGCTAAAGCTTATATGGCTTCCAAAAACAGTTTGCCTAAAATGTTTAACAAACAATTTTACTCATACTTTGCATTCCCTACCTATTTGAAATGGCCCAAAAAATATTAAATAGGTTATAAGGATGGCATGAATATTCAAATTGGCCATACGTCAGCTACCAGTGAGTATTTAACGAAATACTGCGACATTTTTAAACATTGTTTTTTCTAACTAACTACTAAGCTAATGTTGTGTTTCACTGGGTCAAAGGACGATGCTGCTGCTTGGGAAGGGCTGTTGGTGTGTTTTTGGAAGAAGACTGTTTCTCCAGGACTGTGAGTTAGACTTTCAATTACAGTACTTTCAGAATAAAATACCTGAAATCCCAATAACATGCTCTTAACAATATAACCAGCAGTTATTTCATACATTTATTTGAGTTTTTTTTCTTCCATATTGACTTGAGAATGTTTACAGAAACTGTACCGAGCAGATGCATAGCAATGGAATTAAAGGCCATGTCCATTGAATGCAAAACAGAACTCCATAAAAATGATGCAAATATCAATGCAATACACATACATATGTTTTTTTTCATAAAATTACAGATTACAAAAACATAAATGAGATCTCTTCATATGCCCTGAAGCAGCGCTGAAAATACAGAATGAGTACAATGACATTTCAGCACGACTGTACAGCGCTAGGCCCCGACAACTCTAATGCTTGCTGACGTGTGTGTGCATATGTGTGTACACACACACACACACACACACACACACACACACA